CATCCATTTTCATCCGCTTATCCGTTACCGGGTCACGGGGGCAGCAGTCGACACCCAAATCACACTGCACCGTGCCAACCCCCCCAAACCTTCCTGCAGGTGGTGAGTCCACTGGAAGGTACCAACTGCCCTAACTGGGATTCGAACTTGCCCAGGAGGTGAACCCTGGGGTTCCACACCAATGACAGAGACATTGCCTCTGGGCCAAAGTGCCACTGTATGGTATGATTATAATTTGAAATAGAATTTAAAATAGAATGGGAAGGGATTGAATTAAAATCTGGAGCAGCGATTGTATCATCTAAATTTAGCTGCTGAGGTTTATATAAAGGCTCTGTAATCATAGATCACATTATATTCATTAAAGATCTTGTGACCAGAGTTTTGGGGTTAAAAAAAAACACACTTTCCTGTGTTAAAGCCATTGCTTGCATAAATTACACATTTCACTCCGTCAATCCATTCAGCTGCTGCATAAAGAAAAACTGATGAAATCAGTGCAATTTTTCAGATTTGCAATTTAAACAAACACCCAAATGGATGAGTATTCTTAAACAACATAAAGATTAAGTCACAAAAATGCTCTTTATGGCTTTGTCAAGACCACGTCTAATAAATTACAAGACCTGATCACTAGAATATAGGTCAGGTGTGATTGTGAGTGTGTGTGTGAGTGTGTGTCCTGGTCTCACACAGCTGTTGAACAATCTTTGATTATATGTTCTACAGCAAGAAAGTCAGTCATTACTCCTGAACTGAAGGGTCTGAATCATGTGATCTCATCCTTCACAGTAGTGTGCGGTCATCACAGGTGCACAGGTGTCAACACACACGTGTGTGTGCAGGTTGGTGTATGCCTCTGCCTTTACAGCCACCTCAGCTCAACCCCAACCACAAATCCCAGAAAACACCAGTGCCGGGTCACGCCGTTTGCATCTCTTCACAAACAGCAGTCTGCATGTGTGTGTTTGTGTGTGTATGTCAGTGTACTGGAATCACCCCGGCAACCACTCTTGATATGAGAAATTCCCTGCACGGTAAACCTAAGACCTGCTGAAAGTGACACATTGTGCTGGCTCCCTGCACCAGCTCTGAGGAGTGAGCTCACCGTAAACTGAGCAACAGAGCAGCATCAGGAGCAGCTAGGGTGCAGCTCGTTTCTCGAGTGAGTGACACATACTTAGATTAGAGACACCCAACACCAGCCATCCATCCCTCTAGTTCTCTCCCCAGCCTGTCACAGCCAGCTGGGCCATGAGCTCATTGTACCAATCTGGCCACGCGAGAGGAGGACGAGAAGGAGGAGGAGGAGGAAGAGGAGGTGGAGGACGAGAGTGAGAGGCTCAGAGCTGGGTGGGGTGAGAGGGGAGGCTGCCTGCCAGCTCATCGTGTAATCTCATCTTACTGTGGTTACTGTAAGTCAGATGGAGAAGGGAATGGGAAGAAGGGACCACACTTCCCCATGAAAGCAAAGGCTGTGGAAATTACTCCTCCAAAGTCCATCTGAAGCATTTAGCATTTACAGTCGAACCGTGAGTCTGGGAATCTTTGGAAATCCAGATTTAGAAACACATACTGTAAATGTCACTGGGGTGAAATACTAGAGTGGTTAGTTTTATTCGGTATTATAATGTGACTCCCTCTTTAATTGCACATCAAGCGATGCTGACCATGTCTTCCGTTTCACTTTAGTAAAGTCTTAAAGTAATTTGCTTGACAGTTCTTGTTTAATATTATTAATATTAAAAAATAATTTAAATGGAGTTCTATGATCTTTAAAGAACTCAAAACCAATAGTGAGAAAAGAACAAATATTGGAGTGATTTTATGTTGTTTTTTTTTAATTAACTACAAAAAGCTGTTAATACTGCTCATGCAAAAGTTGCTGTGTCTGGTGTTATGACAATTTTTTGTCATTATTTCTCAGTATTATTTTTTAAACAGTCTTATTTACTTTTTGGTGATCATGCTATTTCATGGAACAGTTAATCGCCACCCACCCTAACAAGTGCCTTGAAACATGTTTGAATTTTGTAGTTAATGCTATGTTTTTGCACGTAGTCTCTGAACAGAACACGTTGAATTTGTATTTGTTCAGTTAGGATTAATGCCATTACCAATAAGAAGAACATTGCAATTAACAACAACGACAATGTAAATATTAATCACCTATTAAAGACCCTTCAATAGTTAAAGGGTCAAAGCTAAAAAGAGGCTTGATCTAGATTTGGACAATAAATTTACTGCCAGTATAACATGGCGTACTGAAGTTAGCTGTCGCTAATAGCTAGCTGGAAGTTATACTATCAGGATGAAGACACATTGCCTCTAGCTTCATTCAGCCAGGCAGTTGAAGGTACAACAAAACCATAGCCCAACTTAACTTTTCATTTTAAACTTTATAGTGTGGGATTTTTAGGCTATAACTGTTTATGTTCACGAGGCTAATCTGTTTAAGCTAATAGGCAGGCTAAATGCTACTGTATGTTACTGATGTATCGCTAGATAGCTTAGTGATGAGATCAGTCCAGAGAATTGTTTATTGTTTTGCAACAAAGTTAGTGACTGTTATGGTCAGACTGCAGCAGTGATTTCAGGGTTTTCTGACCAGAATAAAAAAAGTGTATTCCTATTTTCTACATATTGAATGCCAACAAATGAAGTAGAACATATTTGTGGTTGCAGTTGTAATTTGTCACCAGGAACCAAAAATAATTTGTTTGTGTTTACAGCAGCGGTTTCAGCAGCTAATTTGGATCAGTGACATTGGTATTAAATACCTTTGGAAGGATAAAGATATGCATCTGAACAGAGATCAAGAGCAAGCTACTGCTTGATGTTTACCAACTCTCTGAGCTACTTTTGAAAACACCAATGTTTCACAGTCACAACACATGTACAAGCTTTTGCTCCCTCCCTCTATCGTAGCTGTAGATCTTAGACCTCGTGCAGACAGTCGGGCTGTCTCGACAGTCTGGGCTGTTGCCTCAGGCTTTGGCACCGCAGCCAACGCAGGGAAGAAGAAGATGTTTTTTAAGTCCAATACGTGTAGCGGTGGAACAAATGACTTCTTTTCAGTAGCCTGTGTTTTTGTTGTTCCTGTTGTTCCTGTGCACACTTTGAAACAAAAGGACTGAGTCATAAAAAAATCTTGCAGAGAATTACAGTCTTGCTATTTTATATGAGAATTAGTACACAGATGATATGTAGGTTAAAATATTTCAAAACAGAAAAATGTGAGCCTTCACACAGACGATCTGTAGTGTTCAATAAAAGTAGGTCAAGAACTGCAGTAAACTCGATGAGAAATCCCTTTGTTTTCACTTCGAACCACCACAGACGTAAATATTGTATATTCTGCAGAAAATGGGTTTTATATGGAGATAAAACAAATGATTCTGCATTTTGACTCTTGAACCACTTTGTTGTATTTTCCAGAAACATTGCACAATGCATGATTTTATGCATCTTTAAAATCAAAATAAATGCACAGAGATTGACTGATTCCATAAAAAGAAAGAAGGAAAAACAGGCATATAATCTTTAAATTAGTTCAACCTGACTAACCTGGTCAAGGTAGGCAGAGCTGCATTTTTCTTAAGGTGAGGGAAACTACATCATTCTGTAATGTATGGAACATTTTCCACACAACAACAAAAAAAGCTCTGTGACCCACTTTTGGGTCATGACCCACCACTTAATAAAAACTACCACAGAGTAAAGCTAAGGTAAACATCCCTATATGCTGTATGTAGGACAAGCATACTCTAAAAATATTCTCTGTTTTTAATCCTTTGTTGTTGTGTCCCAAACTGCCCTGTGAGGCAGCTGGGAATTAGACTTGTGATTTTCACAGGAGGCTGTGTTTGTGTGACATGTCTAGCAGTGCAGATATTGACGGAAAGTCCCCTTTGTTTCAGCTCCACTTCGTCTTCTTCTTCTTCTTCTTCTTCTGTGTAAGTCAGTTTGAGCCGAGTTTCCTCTGTTCCTAGAAAACTGGGTAATTACCTCACATCACTCTCAGCAGAAAGACAGTCCCCTGTGCTTCTGTTGTATGTGCGTATGTGTTGCAGTTGTGCAGGAACCGATGTGTGTCCTCATGATTGTGTGCACCTGTGTCTTCATGTGTGTACAGGTTATGGCCAGTGGAGAGACCAGGTTTCTGGCAGGGGAAGCAACGTCTGTTCCTCTGAAGTCTCTTATCTCTTTGATGTGGGCCGGCCTTAACTGTCATCTGCAGCTCAGAGACGACCACAACCCTCACACACTTCCGCTCCCACCTGCCTCTGGTGAGCACTATTTCTCTGAAGCGCAGACCCAAAACTCTTCGTCCACTTCAGATAATCTGTGCATACGTGGGTGCACAAACTCTGGTAATCTTTCTTGGTGTGTTTTGCCTGATGGTGGCAAAGATTGTACAGGATGCTTGTTGACTGATTTTAATAACTTCAGATGAAGTTCAACTACAGTATTGTAGTAGTAGCAGATAAGTAAAAAGAAAGTCTTATATTTTAGTCTTAGATGAAGAAAACTACAGTCTTAGACTTCTGTACCTGCCTCTGCACAGAAATCTCTTCCCTGCAGCAGCTCCTCCACCCTCCCTTCCATTCCCAAGTGGTCTCAATGCTAGTGATTGTGCAAGCTGGCACTTAAGTCAGCCAGTGCAATAGTGGTTAAAGGTCAGAGCCTGGAAACAGCACATGTCACAAGCATCACTTGATATAAATGTTTTTCCCTCTAATTTTTGTCTAGTCTCCTTACACAACTGAATCATTTGATGTTTTTCTTCTCCCCCCCCCCCCCCCCCCACGCATCTGTCACCCACACTTTTCTCCTTTCTGCCTCTACAGCACAGATACCACACATCACTTCCTGTTAGTTATCTTTGTAGCCTCCCTCATTCTGCAGCATCTTTGATAACTTTAGATGTGCTGATGGCTAATGCCCTGTGAAGCTCACAGAAGGAGGGTGAAAAAAAAGGTTTGACAAGACAGGATAAATTATTAAAAGTTTATTTTTCAAAACAATAAAGATACAACTAAAACTTATATTGCATTGTTTTGTCTGCATGTGTAAAAGAAACAATTGTCCTTGTAATAAAAAAAATGTCACATACAGACACAGCTGACACCAGGATTCACAAACAATGTCATTGCTTCCTCCAAGAACAACCTGACAGCTGTCCAAGTCCAGCAAGTCAGTTTCAGATAGCATTCTTTAGGACCAGCATCTTGCTTCTCTGTTGAGATTTAGCACCACTTTCATTAGTCCTTTATTTCTGCAGTCTTTTATTCCATGTGCTTTCTCCAGTGCCTGTTATTGAAAGCAGTCCCTGGGTCTCCACATGTCTTTTCCAGCTCAGTCCAAACTCTTTCCATCAGACTCTGTACACTCCATGTGCACCTGGTCCACAGCTGACCTCCTATGTTTAACCTCTTCCACTGGGTAATCCAGAACCAAAGTGCCAACCCAAACTGAAATGTAAGGGTTGCACACTCTTGCAGGGGAGGGTTTACAACCACAGCCTCTCAAATCCCTCAAAAAGTGAGGAAGAAAGATTAAAAAACCCCTTCTGGTGGAAGATCAGCTCCTTGACTTTGCTTTCACCATCAGTGGGTTGTGTGTGTTGTAGGTTCAGCGCTCTGGAAGGGTGATGCTGGGCACCCAGTCGTACACGCTGCGGCTCTCCTTGCAAAACAGAGCCAGCTTGTCCAGAGCGGGATCCTTCCATGGGTTTGCACTGGGACTCTGTGATAAATAAATTAAGAAAAGGGAAGAAAACAAGGTTAGGTTCTGGCCACTAGACACAAGTTATGCAGACATGCTGTAACCACTAGGCTGCGTGAGCAACACAGTCAGACAGAGCAGTGATACATGCATGATTCACTGCCTGACTATTTCAGACGGGGTGGGAACTTACCGTGACAAGAATGCAGTGAGCGTCCTTTGGCTCGCCGGTTTCGTCTGCGCCCACGAGGTCTGCCAGGCGTTGGATGTCGTTGACACGCACGACGTTGATGTCGTTCTCAAAGCAGAACGCCTGGATGAGGGTGAAGTGGATCTGGAGCGCGATGTCACACTTGTACTCCTCATCCGTGGCCAGGACGCAGAATGCCACGCTGTCTGGGTCACTGAGGGAGAGACGGTCAAATTAGGACTCTGTACTCTGCCATGTCTTTCAATTTGAGCACAGAAAACAAAAATGATAAAAAGTTTTTTTTTTAAATGCAACACTTACACATTCATGACTTTGGCGGACTCGTAGACTCCAACCGTCAGGTAGTCCCGATTCTTGGCGGCGACCAGCAGCTCTTCCAGCGCTGTCCCTGCACTTTGCAGCCTTGACAAAGAAACGACACATCGTCAGCCCGGTGAGACACTCACACGTTCACACTCAGTAACATCCACAGAGCAGAAAGCTCCAAACACTTCAGTCACTCAAACATCCAAAACTTACCTGTCACTGTTTTCCATCGTGTTGTCTTGTCCGTGAAACTCTTCCAGAGTCATAGTTATAATCCAAATACGGTCGCGTTGTTGCAGTGGTCTGCGCTCGAGTTGTCTGAGCAGGAGTATTTAGGGTCTGTGGCGTAATTGTGAATTCACAACAGGCTGTGGGTGATTTTATAGCAGCTGCGCGGTGTTTCTCGGCAAGGGGCGGTCCTTTCCGCTCCTGCCTCCCACCATTGGCTCATAGCAGCCGGCGTAAGGAAAGCAAAAGTCCCCGAGCAGTTTACTCCACTTGTAGACAACCCCACGTGGGGGCAAGATTACAGCCTTTCAAGAAATCCACCGCGGCCCCCACCGACTCACCGGTATTGTGGCGTCAACATCCAACAAGAGCACGATGTACAAAAAATTACACAAAGTCCAAGTCCTGTTTACGATGGCCTTGAAGAGTCAACGCAAATATTAACACAACAGAGCTGGGATTCGGAGTGAGATTTGTTGGAGAAAATGATAGTGTGAGATAGTTGTAGTTTAACTAATTTTTAATTAAAAAAATCAATAAAATTATGTGGTTTTTAAACCACAAACATGTGACAATAAACGAACCTGTTTAAAAAAACACTAACTTAATCACTCTGACAATTTTCTTTTACATTTTGCAACCCAAACTTACAATCATGATTTCTAGCTGAAATGTGCACACTGATCACGTGATCAATATTCAGTTTTAAAATACTTTGCTATTAGAAAAAAAACTAGGTCATTCTAAAATAGACCTGTCTTTCACAACTGCTTATCGTGGTATAAATGTAATTGTCGGGGGGGAGGAGGGGGATGACCTGTTGTTGACACTAATAAATGTATTTGCTTTATTTTATAACGGTGATTGTTGACGCTACGTGTGCGCACTTCTCCGTCACTCTTCACCACAAACACACTCTCCTGTATGTGTTTGCACGTTGTATATGAGTTCGACCCCGGTGTTGTGCACAGTCAGATGAGTAGGAAATACAGTTCAGTGGGAAGTAAATAGAAACCAGTGAGGGAGATGAGTCTGTTCCATGATAAGCTCTGGAAAGATCGTTCCAAGACTGGACTTCCCCAGGTTGTGGGGGAGGTGCGGGGGTGGGGATCCCTGCTGTGATATTAATAGTTCATGTTTAAATTCAAAACATTCCCTGGAATCTAGTCCTCCTGGTGCAGGTCTTTTGTGGGTTTGGTTATGTGTTTTTTTCCTGATACCAACCTGTTACCTAACTGGCGTTGCCTGGCAGGAGCTGTGGCCACCGGGTGAACCTGTAACTCTGTTCTGAGCCGGACAGAGTGAAGTGTGACGCAGTATTGGCCAAACACAGCTTGTGGTCGGCACACGCCACTTGAATTGTTTGCCCATTGAAAAGGAGGCGTAATTGTCAGTTTGTCTTGACGCGCGTCGTTTTGTGCAGCGAGGAGGGAAAAAGACAAAAGCGACTTTGTGTCCACCCAGTACTAACGTCCTCCACCTGCCCGTGGCGTTTTCATTGTGTGTGTGTATGTGTGTGTGTCATAACCAACAGATGCGCCACACGCCGCTGGACAGTGGTCTCCTCTTGTAATTTCATCTGCTCATCAGTGCGACTCTTGCAGGAGTTTGTAGTGAACACCAGCAGCTGCTGAGGCACAGCCTCTGATCTTGTCTTAACTTGAAAAGATGGGCATTGATGTCAAAGAAGGGTTTTAACTTGCAATTGTTCTCTTTGATTTTTTTTTCTTCTATGAGCTTAATACAGAAAAAAATCAACAGAATCAAATATAACACTTTTATATTCTCGCAAATTACAGTAAACTCTTCACATCAGAGTAAATTCCACTTCATTCACAATTAGGGATGTCTGATATTAACTTTTCTTACCGATATTATATATTTATGCTAATATCAGGCCAATATTATCGGACACCTCAGCTCAAAATAGCACAACAATGTTAACATGATTGTATGATAAATACACATGTTTTTGTATATATCATGATAGGATTGCATGGTGCATTGATCCTAGCTTGGGATCTTTTAATCAATCTATCTATCAATCAACAAACTAGTCAATCAATCAGTCATTTGATCATTAATCCACCATGATCACCCAGCCATAGAGTCTAATTGACATTCAAATTCATCTTTTATTTACAGATGCCTGACCTAGTGGTCAAAAATAAGTAACAACAATCAAATGTTAGCAATCACAACACATCATACAGACACCTATATAAAGAGTTTCGATTATGTAAATACATGAAAACAGTATCCCTAAACACATTGATGATTTTGGAGAGCTTGAAGACCTTTTTGTAAAGGTCACAGGTCAAATATGTATTGCCAGCTTCAGTATTGACTTTTGACACCGGCATTTGTAAAGGCTGCCTGTGATCAAAGGTCATGTGACTTTGTTTTCAGTCAATCACTCAGTCAGTCTTAGTGTTTGTTTTTCAGCCTTTCTTTGTTTTTCATATTAGGATTTTTAACATTAACTTTAGCTTGTTTTGACCTCCTGTTAATAACAACACACAGTATAAGATATGTACTTATACATACATATTTATGCATACTTATATATGTACTGTACTTATACATAGATATATATATATTATATACCTTGGACAGGTATATAATAGTTTAAATATGTGAACAGTATAAGTAGTTGAGTAATTAAATAATTAAATTAGATAAACAGTTAGCTACAGTATATAGGCAGTTCCAGCGGCTATATTAGTGTATGATGTCGACCGGACTTATACAACCATTATTACTAAGAGCTACTATACATATATAATATAATATTATATAGTATAGATATTAGTAATATATTTATACACTGTATATAAGTTATAAATGTGCATATATATATACATACACACGTACATACGCCCACATCCACATATATGCACTATATGTATATACTTATACATATACACATGCACACACATACATATACAGTATATACCTACATACATATACACACATCTAAATATGCATACTCACGTACAGATATCTACAAACATTAGCATACGTATACGTATATGTACACATATACATAAACATACAACTATAAACATATTGTCACAATTTATGACCAAAATAAATAATTATCTTGAATTAACACAACTTCCCTTTAATCACATATGGACAATTTGCATTGGGTAAAAGTCTTAAAAGTTGTCCCACTCTTTAGCCCTTGTTGTAACCCCACAGGTCATATTCTATTACAGAAGTTGGCATCGGCTGGCCTTATTACTGGAATACAACTCAGTTTGTTTGACTTGTTGTTTGCCGTAACTGTTAGTATAAAATAATAATATAATATTTGTTTAAAAGCAAATTAAATTGGCCGGGAGTTAATAATTACCCTAGTTAAAACAACTTCAGCAGCTCATTCTGGTGCAAAGCAAAGCCGTCAGTGTCAGAAATATGGACTCGCACTGCCACCTGCTGGTTTTTTATGGAGTGACAGTTACACAACAAGTCGAAACATGTAGAAAAAGCTGATGAGTCACGGTTCCGCTCTTACCCTTGTGAGTCACCGAACAGTCCCTCAATGCTGTTATTTCCCCACAGCTCAGCTTATTGTTATGGTCAGACGGATGTTGTTTGCCAGCCGTGCAGCACAAATAGGAGTAGGAAAAACAGGTGGCTCCTTTTTTCTTTTTCTTTTTCTTTTTTTTGTAGAGGATTAAACTGAATATACGGTTTTGACTATTTTAGATTCTGAGTTACGCATTATTTTTTAAATAAACACACAATAATGTTATACATATAGAATGGTGTTATTCATTAAAATCCAGTGCAAAACCAGATTGGTGTTTACATTACTGTGATGCATTCAGGAAACAAAAATGGACCATACTATGTCAATAGTTGTCCAATTTAAAAAATAAAACATTTTAAGACATGTCTTCCAGGCGTCCTGACAGCTTGGACAATATTATCATTGTACTGTAAACCTTTCAAAGGAATTGGATATCAGGCTGGTTCTGTTTTTTGTCAAATTCATTTGCATAACTTGTGTTCATTTGTTTCTTGTAAAAGAAAAAGTGAAGTTATGTTAGCTACTACATTGAATTTGCATTCTTAGGATATTCACTAATTTCTCTGAATACTAGGGCTTGAAGGGTTGTATGTGAAATCAAAAAAATCTAAGACAGAATAAAACATGTAGAGACACGTTTGACGTTTTTCATGATACCTTGGTCAAGCATTGAACACATGCTGTAACACATTAAAAATCATTGCAAACATCAGATCTATTTTGAACCAAAATTAAAAGGAAAACTATTAAAATGATTAACATTTAGCAATTGTTATTTAATATAACTCCAATTATTATTTAACCTAAATAACCCTAAACCAACATTTAAGAAGGAACTTGTCTGACAAGACAGACGCAGGACTTGGTGACAAAGAAAAAACAATGGAGGCTATGTAGAGAAATAGATTTGACACCTACTGTAATAACAATTGTTCACATATTTTGCCAAAATCATTTTCTATATATTTATAAATTTCAACAAACTTAAAGAAGAAAACCAATACATAACACGTTATTTAGCCAAAATCCAATCACAGAGTATAAACATCCACAACTCTTTCATAATAAAGAAACTCTTACAACTGAGGCTTTCTGAAATATAAAAAGTTTATTATTATAGCTGTCCAGGCATGTTTATCCATTAAAAGTTCAAATATACAGAAGAGCTACAATCACTGATTACTATTTACATTTAAGTTTTGCACAAATGTCAGTGCATCTGTTCAACAGGAGCAACACTTAAGTCTTGATTTTACCAACAAAAAAAAAACAAAACAGTTCCAGTACAATTTATGCTGAATTTACTACCAACAGTAACCAAAATCATGAAACATTAAAAAAAAATAACAAAAATGCCTCACTGACTAAACAGTTCATCACATTTTTGCATAAATGTTTACTGCAACAGTTTATTGAGTAAATGTATTTAACGCCGTAATCAGTCTACATGGATAATGATGAGGGTTTATAACAGGGCTGAGACCTGCAGAATTACACTGTATGACAGGAGGTGGTCGGGGCAGGTTGGCTAACCATCAGCTGAGGTCTTGCTCTACATTTTAATTTTTTGTTCTGTACATAATGCAGAAAACAATAATAAAATAAAATAATAAAAAGGTGCATGGATACCCTTGTTACAAGGAAACAGCAAACAAACTTTACAATTCTTCTAAATGGCCAAATGTCCTGCAATGGCTTAAGCAACGTGATCAACGTCATCTTTGATGATTTTAAGCAGCTTCTTTTCTACTATGCAAAGGAGGTTGATTCCTATGTTGCTGTGCAAAATAACTTATCATGACTTTTGGGTTAAAAAGAGTAGATTACACTGAAGACGGCTTACCGCCAGTAGTTTTTTTCGACCACTTTTTTGTAAAGGACCCTGCAGTGGTCAGAGGAGGTTGTGTTTGTTCTCCAAAGCCATTAACACCACCTTCCTAAATCTCGATTTCCTTTAGGTAGTAGATGCTGCTAAATCATTTAAATCTCTTTTTCTTGCTCATTCCGAGGAAATAAATTATGTGCAAAGAAAGTTAACAGTAGTAAAATTTGGCTGTTTTCGAGGGGTAACGTTGGGACGGACTGATCTGAGGCTTGAGTGATTAAAATAATTTTCCCTTCATTAAAATTATTCATTAGGCAAGTTCAAGTTTCCCCAACAGTAGGATTATAGCTCCCTCTACTGGCTGTGACTAATATATGCCTGTTACATTTCGTCAGAGTGATGCTGTTGTAATATGACAGAAGGAGGGTTCCGGTCTATCCAGGTATCCTTGGAGCCGGTCACCTCATAGGCCACAGGCGAAGCTGCAGCCGGGTCAATGGATCCATCAGGCAGAGCCTCTAACACACCACCTGCACCTGGCTTCATGTCCAAGGACTGACCAGAACTCGGGAAGTCTGCCGAGTAGTTGCTGTTGATGCCGGTCTCTGAGTCGGGTTGCTCCACCATCTGGAAGTCAGGCGTGTGGTTCTTCTGGCTGACGGCAAAGTTGGCATTGGTGGTTTCTACCCCTGCTTGACCTACAAAAGGAATCAGATCCTCCTCTGGCTCCACGTAGGGCATGGTGTAGGAGCTGTCCTGTGGCACTGAGCGTAGGGTTCGGGAGAAGACTGCAAACGCAGGAAAAAATAAGCACAATATGTATTAATTCATAACTGAATTCACGGAAAACATGAAGATAAAATAAGACCCAAAAGAATATGTGCATCACAAACACGGATCCAGTAAGGTCTGCAATAACATAATACTTCAATGAACTTTTTTATATTTGAAGTGTCTTACTGGAGGAGGGCGTGTAGACTTCCTTCTGTTCCGTGTTCCCACCAAATGGATTGACTGATGGGAAGATGATGAGGCAGAACGAGAGCAGAAATACCTGAAGGACAAAACCCAAGGACAAGGTCAGGACAGAATACATCTGATACGAGTAGAATTATCATTGATTTTCATTATATTTATCATCATTATTTCTTCTTCACTCTTACCATAACACAAGTGCTGGTGGTGCTGGCCTTCATTGTTGAAATCTTTACAACAGCTTGTAGCTTCTTCAGCTGCTCTATCAAGGAACTGCCAAAGAAATTATATGTACTGTGACACAGCTCAACAGATACTCACAAATACTGTGTATTAGCCACACATTGTTAACACAAACGCTGTCATTGAGTACACGTACATGTTCTGTTTCTGGAGCAACTGGACTTTCTTCTGTAATTCCAGGTTGTGTGCAGTACAGATGGCAACCCTGTGGTACAAGAAGCCAAGAGTACTTTAATACAGAACTGCTGAGAACACTTGAACAATGACAATACTGAAACAAACAAGGGAACCCACATAGGACAATCAGTTAGCATTTCAAAATAGTTGTTGACTAATTTAGTCGCCTGTTGCTTCTATTTTCTCAGTGCAGCTCTGATACATTTAACATCCGCTTCCTCTCACCTGTTCTCCAGACCATCAACGTACACCTTCTTCTTCTTGCGGCTCTCCTGAGCAGACTGCTTGTTGCGGATCTTCCTCCTGATCCTCTTTAGAGTTCTCTCCTCTGCCTAGTGCACAGAGTGTAGGGATAAAATTACATTCTCCTGAACAGCTACACCACAAAAATACACAATAGCGTATTTTGATCCTTTTCCATTATTCTTCCAAAAGTCAGTTCACTACAGTCATTTATGATCAGGACCAAACCATTGGCTTCCACTACAGCAGTGATTCTCAAACTTTTTCTACTCTGTACCACCTTAGAAAACACTGAGCTCTATGAGCTCCACCATGATGACCAACATTAGAATACAGCAGCAAAGGCCTTCACTATTAGCTTCCAGCACAGGAGAGATGTTTAGAAATGTTTAGAAAGATGTTTATGTTTAAATGTTGTATTAATTGTCCATGGTGTGTTTCAGATTTACTCAATTGAAAATGTAAATGTGAAAATATGAATTTTCCCCATGTACCACTAGAGAGCACTCGCGTACCACTGGTGGTGCACGTACCACAGTTTGAAAACCACTGCACTACAGGAATAATAGACAGTATGTGCATCAGTTACCTTTGTAAGGGGCATGTGTGTGGGGATGGTGAGGCCGTCCTTTGCCAGAAGTCGTTTCTCTTCCTCAGTAAGAACCATTTCTTTAAACTGGAACTAAAGAAAGGAGGAAAAAAATCAGTTATAGCCATGTATGTAACCTGTGGCACGTGTATCATGACACCAAAAAATAATGTAAATTTAAAAAAAAAAAAAAACAACCACATTTTAACATATATTGATTTTTTTTTAAATATATTTTGCTGATTTCGTAGTCTCTGACCTGGTCTATGTTGTTTTCTGAGAAATCTGTTGAGTCCTCTATGGCTAAAGTACAGGGCAGCTCACTGGTGACATCTTCTTCCATTTCCTCAGTCACCAGATCATCTGCAATCACAAAAGCAGATACTACCTTAAACCAATGTCATAGTTTGATAATTCGGTAGAAATTAGGAGAAAAAAATCTCTTGTTGGAGGATTCAAATCTCACCCAGATCAATAAAGACATCTGTGTCTGGCCTCTCGGACCTCACACTCTCCAGGACATCCATGTCTTTTCCACCACATTGCAGCATAGAGTAACTGTGATCCGCTTGGACAGATAAAGCCTCCAGGTTCTCTGTGTGCAGCTCATCTGGTGCCCGGCCGGGTTCAAAGTTCACAGGACTGGGCTGTGAGTACCTGGGACTGGGCACGACGTCACTATCACTGCCGTGGGGACTGGGGCATCCCGGAACATTGTTGCTTCCAGCTCCAGTGCTGCTGTCATCAGAAATGCCGCTGTCACTGCCCAAAGGGGAATGAGAGGGACAGAACGTACCGCTGTTGTCCTCATTCTCCAGCAGGCTGGACAGAAAGTCTTCAGTATCCATACCAGTCAGCATCTGTTACAGGGGCATGTAAATATACATGTTAATATAACACAGCAACGGACCAATTCAAAAATGTAACTGTAAAGGAGTTCATCCTTAAGCCCACGACACTTACATCTTGTTCAGACAGCCAAGACTCAATGAGCCCGTTCCCATCAGGAAAGAAGGGGTCAGTAGATCCATCCTGCACATCCTGGAACAGCAGACCTAACAAGTCTGTTCCGTCCATCTCCGGAAGATCCTCAGTCATGGACATCTGTGAAAAAAAACATAAATAGTATAGTGATGGAAAATTACAATCTACACTCTGTATTTAGTAAGGGAACGCACACTTATACAACACTTTACATATTTACATATTGCTAATTTTTTAATTCAATGTTGGAAATGTATACACCAGTTTCTCAGCTGTTCTGACAGACCACCAACAATATATATATATATATATATATACATATATACATTCACTTTGTGGCCTGTTTAAGATAAAAGACAAATGAGATCATTTGAATTATTTTATTCCCAGATGAACAGACCCGCCAATGATCTGGGTGGGACGGTTTTTGGCACAACTGAAAAAAAGTGAAACTGAAGAGAGAACTCATGACTCACTGCGGTTGGTGGGGAATTTCATAGTTTCATAATTACCACATTACAATAACATTTTGTGCTGAAGAACAATATACTGTTTGTATACACTGGTAATTGATTGAAATCAGAATTGGCAAGAAAAATATCAGCAAGTCACCAAAAAAATTTAATTGGCAAAAATAATAAAAAATACATTGGTGTTCAATTTTGTCTGAACATTCAGCTAAGTTTGGCCAAAAAAGCAAAATACTTCTTATTAAGAATCTTATTAAATCCACAGAAGATGTCTGTTTATATTTGTTGGTGCTGTATTACAACCTTTGACCTTCACGTGGTTCACAAGGCAATAAAGACAACCGTATAATACTGGTGGCTTTTTACAATATTTTTGCCAGAAAAGACAACACTTCCGCTCTCGTGGTTTTAATAACACGCCTACCAAAGTAAGAGTGTAAACAGCCCCACATTGCATCACTGCCACGCTGCTATGATGACTTCATCTTCACAGCGGGCCACGCCCCCACGCCTTTGTCACGAGACTATAATGCTATATCAGGGGGGAAACAAATAAAGGTTGTTTACTTTACATTCTCAAAACTAACATATCTAAACGGTGCAGTTGTTACGATCTAGACACACCAACGGTGTTCGAATGTGATGTATTTGCGGCAAGACTGCAAGACGGAAAGAACGGGATGTCGGCTTATTGTCCTTGCAGTACGGTCTGTCAAGACCACCAGTCGACCACCATGACCTACTTATCGTTGCAGCAGACACAAGCAGTGTGACCAAAGAATTTCAATAAATAAAAACATATAAATATAAATATTTTAAGTGCCTATTTTGGAGCATTAAAAAACAAACAGCACTGCAAGATAACGTAACGAAAATGATTACAAATGTTGCTTTTAGCTGCTTTTACAGAAAGCGTGATTGTTACACACTGAAAAGACAAAACACGGCATTAATGTGACGTTAGTTATCTTACCGTTGAATAACAGTAGGCTTACTACCATTCGAGTGAGTAGAACTGGACGTCTAATGCTTTCCCTTCTCAACAAACCCGTGCTGTTCCGTCAGCCTTCAAAGCACTTCCTGCTCGAACCACCTTCCAACAAGGCAAAAATTGCGTCATCACGCAATAGCGGATATCAGTCTTGTGTCTTCCGGGTGCTTTTGGGAAGTGTAGTTTTATACGGGATTTTTCATTAAAAAGCACGCTTTTTAATGAAAAATCCCAGATTCTGCAGATTTGGCTGAAATGTGTTGACGAGAAGGAAAAAGGGAATAATCGGTTAGGTTTGTTATTACCATAGAATGTGTGTTTGTGGAGGTGGACATCTTGATCGCCATGATTTGGGTTTTGTGAATAAGTGATAACTAAAAACAGCTAATTGTTTAGCCCTTGTTAGAGGCAGTTTCAAAGTACCATGAGTGGAATCTGTTTTGGCCTAAGATTCACCAAATTATAGAATTTGGGGTTATAGTGAGAGATATTTTAAGGTTAAAATGTTTATTTTGGAGCATATATTATGTCTGGGTGTCCTGATTACTATCTTAAGAAGAAACTAACCATCACCAGTTGTAGTGCATTTAAATTATAACTTTATTTAAATTAACACATTCATCATGGCATCTGACAATTGAGAAAATGACCTACATTGAGTCATAAATTAAATAACCGTTGCACATAACCAACTTATAAAGGCCTGGGTTTTTTACTGT